TCCCCAGATGGCAGCCTGCGGCAAGTGCAGCCGGTCTGATGGCCGAGTGCTGTGATGTGCCCAGTGTGGGTCCTCCAGGCAATCCAAGCCAGGACTGCTTTGCAAGTGGGGCACCCCTGAGAACTGTCTGTCCAGGGTGGGGGTCGGGTCCCTTTAAGCACAGCTCTCAGCTAGCCTGAGACAGCAGCTCCACGCTCTAAGTTCTACTCTGATGCCCTGCCGGCACTGCTTCCGGCCATCCTTAACCTCTGTTCAGGGTCCACTCAATGTGGACATGCTAGTTCGAATTAGCAAAACGCTAATTCGAACTAGTTTTTAGGTCTAGCCTCTAAGTCCTACTCTGATGCCCTGCCGGCACTGCTTCCGGCCATCCTTAACCTCTGTTCAGGGTCCACTCAATGTGGACATGCTAGTTCGAATTAGCAAAACGCTAATTCGAACTAGTTTTTAGGTCTAGCTGTGCTAATTCGAATTATATTAGTTCGAATTAACTAATTCGAACTAAGTTAGTTCAAATTAGCGCCGTAGTGTAGACATACCCCTTGAGATTAACAAAAAAAAATTGATTCGCTTAATTCATGTCTGATCACCTCTTTCTGTCAGTGAGGACAGAGCAGTGGTAAAATGCGTGCACTACTCATGCTGGCTAATGTCGCCTCTCGCTCCACAGCGCACACTGCACAGTAAGACAACAGTGGGTGACAGGAGCAGGGTGTGTAGCCCTACTGACTATATAGGCAGGAAATAGCTGCATACAAATTACAGGCACAGGGTGAGGGGGTGCAGGAAACCTCCTGCATGCCATGCTAATACAACAAGGCATCAACACTGACTCAGGTTTAGGGGGAAACCAGCTACCCTTCATGTGTGTAGAGTTGAATTAGAATGGCTAGTTGACTTGAGAGGAATTGGTCTTCAGGAGGGGGAGTGGGTCTGAGTAGATAATTAGCTCTGTTAGTTCCTGAGAAGAAGTAAAGTAAACCGAGTCTGGTGTGGCAGACTCCATGTAGTGTTTAAGTGCACAACTAACCAATGAATTGTCAACATATTAGAATAATGTTATGTTCTTTATCAATGCAGAAATAAGACTAGATCAAATGTGAATAAGATTATGTAAATAATTTTATATATGGCAAGAACTGCATTTGCTTGGATTCCTAGAGCAGTTTAATATATTTATCTGAGCAACTCAAATAGATCTCCAACATTTAAGAAAAGAATCCTAATAAGAGGAGATGACCAACCTCAAAATTGTCAGAAAACCAGACATTGCTACAGTAGCAAAAGAATTAATAGGATGACTGTACCAGATGGGCTTTGTTTTTGTTTTGTGCATCTTATCCAGACCAGGTATAACAATATACATTGTTTCAGATCATCCGGGTCTAGAAAATGTGATACAGATTGAAAAGTTTCAAGAAAAGGCTTACATGGAATTTCAAGACTATGTAACAAAAGCATATCCAGATGATACCTACAGGTACGTAAACTATATACATTACATGCTTGATTTATCTTTTTTTTCCCTTCAGAGTGTCCATTACCTTAATTTGTGAAGTAGTTTGTTTTAAGAAATGTGAGAATCAATTATGTGAAAAGTGTTGACAAACTTTAATCCCACTTTTAGTCACTGTATGTATAAAATAACTTGCTGCAGTTTACATGTAAAAGTTAAACTTTATGCAGTTGTATCTAATTTTTTTTAATCGTACATACCTGTCACTTTGAAACCAGATCTTCCATTTGTTTTCTTTTGCTTGCTGCAGTTCCCTCAAACCATCAATTTTTAAACGAGTTGTACCACCTGCATATATTGAAATGCCTATTAAAATCTTTGTGCTACTGTCACATATATGGCTGGTTATGAATTAAATACTGGCTTAATTTAAAACGTGATCAGTCTTTCATGCCTATAAAAACAATACTAGACTTCCTAAGAATTGGGTTTTTATTGAACCATGATCAAAAATGTATTCCTTTATGTCAGGGGTTCCCAAACTTTTTGACACGGGGACCAGTAAATCCATTCATGAGCTTTTGGAGGACCAGTAACAGTCATTTGCATATTCGCATATTCATTAAGCAGCTGATGGATATTCAACTAATTTGTTTCTGGTCCTCCCAAAGCCCCCAGTGCAAGCTTTAGCAAAGCTTTTGATACGGTCACCCACAATATTCTTGCCAGCAAGTTAAGGGAATATGGATTGTATAAGTAGACTGTAAGATGAATAGAAAGCTGGCTAGACCAGGGTTTCCCAAACTTTTTACTTTAATTGGAACCCGTTTTTTTTTCAATACTGTTTTTTGCAGCCCAAAAATATAAGCACATATAAAAAAGGAATTAAAAATGAATAAATGTTCAGTGTTTCACCCAGCTGCATCCTCCGCCCAGCCTGGGCCAGGGCTTGGGGGCCCGGTGCCACATGGGCACTCCAAGAGGCGGGAGCAGGAGCAGATTGGGGGTAGGGTATCTGGCTAGGTGGGAAGGTGCAAGGAGGGGTAGGGTTGCCAGGTGTCCAGTTTTGTACCGGACAGTGCGGTATTTGAGGGTTCTGTCTGGGAAACAAATTGAGAAAATACCGGACATATAAAATGTCCAGTATTTTCTAATTAGGTAAGTTTTATTATTATTAGATGTATCAGTCTGTAGCTGTGAACTGCCTGGCTGGGAGATGTGCTCATGCTGCGTGAGTGTGTCTACCAGCCAGGCACTTCGCAACTACTCGAGGGAGAGTATGGGTGGGGGAGGGCAAAATGGAATCCCTGGGGCCGGACTCACTCGTATGTCCGGGTCAGTACTCTTCCCACTGGCTGATTCACTTCCCTCCCTTCCCCCCCTACTTCTCCTCCCAATCTCCCCTGGCCAGCCCCGCTGCCCCCGTCCAGCCCTGCTTCCGGTGGCTGGTTCTCCCGTCCTTCTCCTCATGATCTCCCCTGGCCAGCCCACTGCCCCTGGCCAGCCCTGCTTCAGGCGTCTGGTTCTCCAGTCCTCCTCCTCCCAATCTCCCCCGGCCAGCCGCCCCAGCGGCCAGCCCCCCCAGCTAGCCCTGCTTCTGCCGCCTGCCCCGATCTCCGCCAGACAGCCCCACTGCCCCCAACCCTGCTTCCCGGAGGCCAGTCCCCCGCCCCACCTCCTCCCAGCCTGCCCCAGTCCCCTCACCGCAGCCACGCTGAGGCCCGGCAGCCAGCTGGCTGCCCCCAATCTCCGCTGGACAGCCCCGCTGCCCCCAACTCTGCTTCCCGGCGGCCGGTTTCCCCCACACACGCACCTCTTCCCAGCCCACCCCGCTCCGCTCCCCTCCCGGCAGCCACGCTGTACCAGGCTATGGCCCATAGTTTGGGAAATGCTGCTTTATCTGTTTTTTCTTACTCATAACTATGGAGAACATCAAAAGGAAGCCTTGCTTTGCCTATTAAGGTGTCATGCTCTTTTGCCAAACCTGTTTTTCAGGCTGTCTAGGCTGCTTCTCCGATTGCCTGCTCTCAGACTGATGAGTGCTAACATCACAGAAGAGTTGTTCTTTGCAGGACTGATTGGAAATGTTCAGATTGACAGCATCATTCCATATATCCTAAGAATGGAGACGGCAGACTATAACTCTCAGATCATTGGTCATTCTGTGTAAATGTGGAAAACATGGATTCTATACCAAGGTGATGTACATCACCAAGGCAGTCATGGCATACTGTCTCCAAGAGATAGCAAATAAGCCTTCCCCAGCAACTTTTAAAAATTCAAAGAAGGCTAAAAGTCCTCCTTTCTAGTACATTTGGGAAATGCTTCAGTGTGTCCTGAAGGATGCAGGATGATTTCCTTTTTTCACCTGGTTTTCAAGGACTTGTAAATTATCTGGCATTTAATGAAAATCAAGAATTATCCATCTTATTTTTGTAGATAGATGAACCTGGAATATTGTTTATGAAACCCAAAATGAATAGGAAAATAAAGACTGCGGAAGAAGAGCATTGACTGAACTAAGGTGTCACTACTTAATTTTAGGGAAAAAATAAATTAACTTTCTACTCTGAGTTGTGTTTTCAGTGTTTTGCTATAATTCATTCTCATTGATTTTTATGGAACATGAAGGTCAAAAATCCTAAAAAGGCAAAAAGATTTCAATTGAAATGAGACCATTGTAATTGAATTCATTTTTTCTTTCAGCTACTTTGAAAAGAGCTGAAATTCTTGTTTTATAAAGCAGTTGGTACCATACAAAAGACAGGGAAATCAAAGAAAGCATGCACATTTATATATATATATATATATATATATATTCTGTTAATACCTCAATGCAGCTGATCATAGTGAATCTCTATTATTGGCAATGAGATTAATGCTATTCTGGATGTGGAGGAGTTAATATGTTCTAGTGTTGTATATTGGTAGTTACCAGCTATTTGTATTATGCATTGGGAAACTGAGTAGAATAAACTATTTTCCAAAATAGTTTATTACTCTATCAGATTTCTTTTGTATTTTTCTAACTAATTAAGTTTTTAGTACTGATTGAGTCTAGAGCACGGGTTGTTTTATGACTGATGGGCCATCAGTCTTCTATTTATAATAACCTGAGGCCCCATAATTGGAGTTCTTCTGTTCTCTCCAACACATTCCTTCCCTCCGTTTATTCAAGAATAAATAGTTTTCCCTTCTCGTAATATAAATCCATGCTTCTGATCAGGAGCTGGAAGAGGGGGGGCTGGGTTTTCTTAGTGGTAATTGTAAACAATAAAACAGACAAATAAAGGCATTGTTTTTATTTTTATATTCATTTGTTCATTAACCAGCATTTATTTTATCTGTTGCAGTTATCATTGCACTTTGATGTCTTATGGGCTTTTTTAAGGAACAGTGCTTGCTTTGAGGTTTACTGCTGCTCAGATAAATGTATCCCCTTTAATGAGTTTCAGCTGAAGCCCATAACCTTTATCTAAACAGCCACGTTATTTTGATCAACAGTGTCCACCGATTCTCACATCATTGCCATTCTGATTGTTTTCAATTTCATGATATTGAATAGCATCTGGTATCTGCAGTTAAATTTTTTCTGATCTATGTTGATGTTGGATAGAAGGCTGGCCAATTTTATTCCTATTTTGTCACAGTCCAGTAATATCAGGTGATTTACTACTAAAAATTAAAATCTGAAAATTACTACATCATGGACATTAGAGGTACTTTTAACAATTCTCTAGCTTTTGGGGGGGTTGACCCCCACAATACATAGTTTATTTATTTTCCATGTTCAGTCTTCACCAATTTGACTATAGAAAACCTGGAAGCTGCGGTGACTTTCCCCTGTGGCTCCTAGCTGCCAGGAGCCATAGGAAACTCACCATGGAGGCCTGGAGCTGTGGTGAGTTTCCGCCCCCACCACTTTCCCCCAGGCCAGGCCAGGAGACCTACAAGTTTATAATTTTTTATTTAAGGGAAAAATGAATTTTAGTCTAAACAGTTTGAGTGGGAAAATGAATGGTTTTATACATTTCAGAATCCTGTCAATTAAAGATGGGTGCACTGTTCTAAATAATGAACTGAGTTCAAAAATAATTTTTCTTACAAATATTTACTGGATAGTATGCCAGATTGTTTTTTACTGGCATATTTCCTGGTACAGTTTATAGTTACATTTTGAACAGTTTTGAAAGAACTTGACTGTAATTTCAACTGCATTACAAACCAATCCTATCCTCTTAATACATTTGTTCTGTGCCCTCTCTATGCAGTGTCAACAGAAGTCATTTTTTTGCTCATTCCATCCCATATCTACATCTTTCTGGGAGATCAGTTTTAATGTAAGCATCAGAATATTGCAGTGATTGTCTCGCTATTGTATAAAAGCTACTGTAAATGTCTTGAAACCTGACTAAAACTGTAAATTCTATTTTGGCTGTATTTTTTAAAATAAATTGTAACTTTATTATAGAATAACAATTGCAATTACCTATCAATTTGTAATATTTTATATGAATTGATACATAGTGTTTTCAATTTCTTATAGGTTGTCTGGGTATACTATTGTAGTGCAATATAATATTGTCAGTTATAAGACAGTGGGACATTGCTCGCTGTTTGCTATCTCTAACTTTGCCATTAACATTTAGTTTCTCTGTCACTTAACTTTTAGCTTATGAATTTGCATACATAATACATTTGATAATTTATTGTAAAACTTTGACTAAGCAGCATCATTTGCTTTTTAAAGCATAATATATTCATAATTATAGTATCATCCCTTTATGAGTTCTGGTAATGGTTGTTCATGTCACAAATTATAATTTATATTTCAAGATGTTTATTCAACACCATTTGGTCTAAAAGACTGTTGAACCAATTTTACATAAGAAGTAGGGCATTGCTGGATAGGAAATTTTTGTTTTATTTTCAAATGTATTACAAATTAGAACAGCAATTTTGATTTTGGTCATCTCAGTTTTAAGTGTTCAAGGACAGAATTGTTCTTGGAAAAATCATTGATGCTCATGCCCTTTGTTACGGAATTTAGCTTCTTGTTGATAGCTTAAATATTTAAAAAATTAAATGCCTATTTCTTTTGCAACGAAAAGACAGTCTTCTGAATGTAAATTAATGTGGTGTCCACCAGAGTATGCTGGTAACCTGAAACAATAGCCCAAGGAAATGAATTGCCACTTATTTCAGGGTGTTAAGTCTGAAAAATAGTTATAACAATGTAAATGTGAAAGCTATCTCTTTTGCTGCCTATCATCATTGCAGAAAAATCCCATTAATGTGTTTAATCATCATTTATCAGGAACAGCGGTGGATGTTGGTGTTTGAGTGGGGCAGTGGGTTACTGGATTGCAAGAGGAAGGAACAAGGAATCCTCCCTATCCCACTTTCCAAAAATAAAATTAAATTTGTGGCTGACTCTAGCCTCACTGCCACCTGTTCTCAGTCATGCCACAGGCTGTGTCTAGATTGCCAAGAAAAGTCGGAAAAAGATACGCAAATTGCAAACTACAATTTGATATCTTTTTCCATTTTTTTCTGAAAGAGACTTTTTCAAAATTTGGCCCATCTACACGAAGCCAAATTTCGGAAAAAAGTGCTCTTTCGGAACATCCTTTATTCCTCTCACCAAGAGAAATACAGAGATGCCAAAAGAACACGTCCACTTTTTTGGAAACTTTTGGACTGGTTCCTTGGCGTAGCAGAGCTTTTCTAGGATACATCCGGTATCCCGGGAAAGCTCTGCAGTCTAGACAGAGCCACAGACTCCTGTTTCCCCACTCCTGCCAATCTCCTATACCTTATCTCTCATCTCTGCTTCCTAATCCATTTTCCCTCACACTTTTTCCTGCTCACCTAAGAAAGGAAGAAATGAGGCTAGAGAGGAACTTTAGGGAAAAGAGTGATCCTCTGGTCTGGTGAATCATAGGAAGCTTGTTGAAGATCATCATCTCACAAGCTTTCGCTTCCCTGGAATCTTTCCTCCCTCAGCAGAAACTCCACAGTTTTTTCCATCCAATGATCTGTGTCACTTATATCAACTCTCCATACCTCCCATATTTATTCCTACTCCCCCCTATGATTTCCCAAAATATTTTCTACATCCACTCCATCAGATGCACCCTTTTATCTCCATGGACTCACTTCTGTTTCTCTAACACAATACACATACAGCCCACACCAAACCATGGATGCCTCTGGACAATTCTCATCGACCTGCCCCTATAGCTCTGCTTCCTCTATCCCCAAGTTCTCAAATTCAAAGCTCTAATTTCATATTTGTTAATGTACAAATAACATATAATAGACATTTTTCATTGCTTGCATATCCATAAGAAATGTATCTTTATCTGAAAGCAATTATGGTTTTGCACTTCAGTGTAATGTGAGGTATTGGATATGTACATTGTGAATTTAAAAGGAGTCTTTTGTACATCTGTAGAATTTGTTGTTAAACTTGAGTATTACAATGTTTGGGTACTGTTGAAGATTTTGAGGTTGTTGATACTGGCTTAACTAGCAATTGTTCTGATATTTAGTGATTGTGTTCTTCAAATTAACTTTCTAAATTAACTAAGAATGTGGGGATGGGGTGGGAGATAATCAATACAGTTAATTTATAGCAGAATACATGAATTGGGTAAGTGATCGATTCTCCTTCTTAAATATTCTGAAATCTTCAGATATTTGGAGTTCAGGATATTTGGAAGAGCCAAACTGCCAGGCCCAGAAAGAAGTCTGTGCTTATACCAGGTCCCATAATTAGTAATTATATGAATATATAATTAGATTAGCAATACAAGGTAATTGAGATAATATCTGTCATTGGACTAACTTCTGTAGGTGAGCGAGAGAAGTTACCAAGCCAGAAAGAGTTCTTCCTCATGTCTGGGAAATACTCCTAGTACCACAAGTAAACACTGAGAGGAACAGATTGTTTTAGAAGAAAAAAAAACAGGACTATGTAGCACTTGTGTAACATAGTCCTGTTTTTTGTTTCAGCTACACCAGACTAACATGGCTACATTTCTATCACTATTCAGATTGTTTTAGGGTTGCCAACTTTCTAATGCCTGAAAACCAGACCCCATCTCTTCCCCCAATGCTCCACTTCCCGCTTGCTCCTCTTCCTTCCCATGTCTGTCTTCTCCCTTGTTAGCTAGGTCCTCTCCTCTTCTCTCCCACTCCTCCAGGCAAGGTTCCCTCTGCTCTGGGAGCTACTGAAGCCTGACTCAGAATCTGCCGTCTGTCTGCCCACAAGCAGAAGGCACGAGGCAACCCCAGCTAAGCAGAGGTGGCGCAGGCAGATGACCTGATGCATCCCTCATCCTACTTCCTACATTGTCCATAACCTAACTTTCGGTATCCAGTCAGTACATCTGACCCAACACTGCCAGGCCCTCTTTGCTACTAGATGTTCTCTTTGAAAACTGGACACCTGGCAACCATAGTTTCTTTGGTACAAGTAGTTTAGCATATATTCTAAGGGACCATTCAAGGTAGAGTGCCCATTCACACCTCAGCAGGCAGGACAAAAAGGAGGAGGTTGTGGGTTACA